CCCCCCTCCCTATACACATCCGACTCGTCTCCTCCTCTATGCATCTGTTTCGCTTCGCTGTTCCTTCTCTCAGCGTCTCCTCCGCCACACCGGCGGCAGCGACGAAGCAACACCAACCGACCGGGACATCCATCCCCTCCAGCCCACGCCTCCCTCACTCTCCCTCTCGCGCGCGGACCATGAAGTCGAGTCTCTTCTTCCTCCCGCTGCGGCGGCGGCGGCTGCTACCGCCGCCGTGGCTACTGCCGCTGCTGCTGCTAGGGCTAGCGTCGCTGGCGGGGCCGGCGGCGGCCAAGGTTACCCCGAACGGCGCCATGGTTTGGGACGGTAACGGGTGGATCGCGCTCTGGGACGACGACGAGGCTCCGCGGCCCCCGCCGCCCAAGACGACCTCATGGAAGCGCTCGGACACGTCCATCTTCGTCGGCGTGAGCTCCTTCCGCGACAAGCGCTGCCCGCAGACCTTGGTGAACTTCTTCAGCAAGGCCAAATACCCCGAAAGGATCACCGTCGGGGTCGTCCAGCAGAACGACCACGAGGACGTGGACTGCGTCGTGGAGTACTGCAAGATGATGGGGGGCCACGCGGAGGGCCCCCTTTGCCCGTACTTCGACAACATCAAGACGCTGAGGGTGGAGGCGAGGTGGGCGGCTGGCCCCTGCTACGGCCGGCACTTGCAGGTCCGTTTGTTGTGTGGGGCCGATGGTTCGGTCGCAGATTTGGTGTTGTAGAGTTGTGCTGAACGAAGGGGCGGGGTACAGGTTCGCGAAGGATTTGATATGGTTTTCCTACGGCCGGCACTTACGGGTTCGTTGTTGTTGTTGTTGTTGTTGTTGTTGTTGTTGGTGATGGTGTGCGCCTGTGCGTGGGGGGCCGGTGGCATGGTCGGAGGTTTGGTGTTTAGACTTGTGATGAACAAAGGGGCGGGGTACAGCCGTTGTAGGTTCACGAATGTTTTTTGTTGCGTTCCGTTGAGCTTGTGGCGAGTAAATGCATGGTGCGTTGCCGTCAAGGTGCGAATGTCGTAACCTCCTGGACTGGCTTTGAAGGGCCGATTGCCCGCACGCCCTGTCATGAAGCAGGTCTTGTTGCCGTGGTGTACGGGTGTGTGTCGGGAGCTGTGCCAGCTTTGAGACACAGATCTTGAAATGTAGTCGGGAGGACAGCGTAACATGTGTCTTTGTGTTCACTTGGAAACAAACCGGAACGGATCGAATCGTCGCAAGTCGTCATTACAGCAGCAGCAGCATCAGCCCGACCTCGTGCCAGATGTTGCTTTCACGCTCATCTTCGCTCCTTCTCGCTGTTGCCGGTTGTTCTCCTGTGAAGGTGTTGTTGCCTCTGGTTTATTGCTGCTTTGCTTTTGTCGGTTTTTTTTTTCGTTCTCATGTTTTGTTATTTTTTACCTCGAAATCTTGCTGTGGTACGGTTGCCCCTCTTTCCACGGCTGCGGTGCGTGGCGCAGTCATACATGCTGCGGGACGAGGAGTTCTGCATGCAGACGGACAGCCACATGGACGTGGTGCAGGACTGGGACGCGAAGCTCATGGCCATGTGGGGCCGCGTCAACAACGAGTACGGCATCCTCACGACGTACGTGCACAAGATCGAGCAGCTGCACGAGGGCTACGAGAACAAGAAGGAGGTGCCGCACCTCTGCCAGGTGCCGTAACGGGGTTGGGGTTGTTTTAAGGAGGAGGGGCGGTGGTGACCGCGGCTGCTGTGCCCGTGCCTCTGCGTTCTTTCCTGTCCCTCTCTTTTGACCCTGATCTTGCGTAGATAACACACCTTGATATATTCTGGGGGACATCAGTAGTGCATTATGGCCGAAGACGCCACCACAATTGACTAGGAAAGCATGTTCGCGTCTTTAACCCCGCTACTATTTGACTGACGTATCTTCATTGGTCAGCCGGCTAGCGCGGCCGCCGCCAAGTAAAGAAATAACGCGCATGCGCTCGCGGGTACTCCCGTTCAGCGACCTTAACCATGCCCCGTGCCTCTGCTTTCCGTCCTCTCTGCTCCCCCTGTGTTGCAACCGTAAACGAAAAAAAACAACTTGCACGGCGGAACAACTGCCGCGCGGGCCACAAAAAATGGTGGGAAAATCCCGCACACGAAAAAAACAACAAAGCTTGGCTTCACGGAGACCGGAAACCACCCGAGGTACGTGCAGGCGAAGCTGGCGACCAAGCTGCCTTCCCCCAAGCTCACCAACACGTGGGCGGCGGGGCTGAGCCTGGCGAAGTGCCACGCCTGGAAGGCCTCGCCGTACGATCCGGGACTGCGCAAGGTGGGTGTGATGTATGTGTTTTTTGTGGCGGGCTGACAGCAGTATCTGACAAAACATCACGTTCGGGATGTATCCGGCCCGCTGTGTGTGATTTGTGGGGGGCGGACAGCAGCCTCTGGCAAACATCACGTTCGGGATGTATCTGCTTGTGGCGGATGGACAGTCCCAGATGAAAATCCTTTTGGCATTTGCTTTGTTGTGTAGGAAATGCGTCCTCTGTTGTAAAGCTTAGCTGCAGGAGCCTAGCGACGTTGTGATGAGTTGATGATCACCGACGGGACCTTGGTGCTGTGTCGGGATCAAGGTGTTTGAAACCTTACCGCGTCCTATTTAGCCTATGTCGCTCTTGGGATGGTAGGGGAGAGGTGGGGGGCGGTACAGCTCGCATGTTTTTTTGCCCATAGGACAAGCTTCGTGTTGTTCCGATACCATACAGCAGTAGCTGTCCACATACACCAATGTGTTTGCGGTTGCTGGCGAAGGACCCATCTGTCCCTGGCGTGCTAGGGCGTATTTATTGGTGTGGTTGTCTCATGGACCGCGCTTATTTGGCCAGTTTGTTGGACCACATGATGAACGAAAAAAAACGAGGCCTTGCTCTCTCTCTCAGCGTGCCAGCAATGTTGACATCGCCGCCGCCGATGTGTTGCGTGTCCTTGTGCCTCTCTCGCCCTTGGCCGTCGTCTGCGGTGTTTTGTGTGTGTCTCTCGTTTTGTCTATCTGGGGAGAAGGTGTTCGACGGTGAAGAGTTCTCGATGCACGCGCGCCTATGGACCAGGGGTTATGACACCTACACCCCGGACAAGAGCCTTGTCGGGCACGACTACAATAAGGTCAAGGAGGGCCCACAACCGTCCAGGTGGGGGTTGGGCATGTGGAACCGGGGGGGGG